GTAGCAATCGGTGTTCAATTGAAAAAGCAAATTCGTTTTTGTCGTTAACTTTAACGTTTTGGTCATTTAAATTCTGATCGTGCATTCTTTTCAGTTTCTAGCCCATGCATGGAAGCTATTTCTGAGTTGTCTTGTCACTCGTTGTTAAGAATCGGTCTGGAAAAAAGATGGCTGCCAATGGAGGGCTTCAAAGAGGCCGATACAATAAGGTTTTAAACGCGGTCAGAGGTCGCATCATAGATGCCTTCGAAGGAGAAAAACTCGACCGACTGTTGCTGAAACTCTCGGCGTGAAGCGCAGAACAGAAGAAATGTTCTACCAAGAGGAGGGAGAAAACGTTCAAAAACGGATCAAGGAATGAATGATGGTCTTCAACATTACTAGATGAAATGGCCACGTATAGTCAAGAGTACACTAGCTTGGACTATAGACGGCATGCTGACAGTGGCGTAGCCAGGAATTTTTCAGTGGGGGGGGGGGGGGGGGGGGCGCTGGGGGGGGCTGGAACATTTCATGGGGGGCGTCATGTAGATCAATGATAATTTTTTTCGAAACTCAAAATCTCAGGGGGGGGGGGCGACAAGGTTTCATGGGGGGGGGTTGCCCCCCCCCCCACGCCCTCCCTTGGCTACGCCACTGCATGCTGATCACACACAAGCTAGCTCAGGATGTACCTCAAGCCCGCAATGCTGACTGACAGAGTGCTCCTACAGCGGCAATAATATGCCAACTAGTTCTTAAGACATGGCGTCGTTGGTCACTGCATCATTATCGATGAATGTGGATATAACATTTGGACGCGACGTAGAGAGCAGTTAGAGGAAAACCCGTTCGCACAGTGGTGAACAATCAACGTGGAAACAACTATAATGTTGAATTTGCCATATCTCCAGGAGTTGGACCTGCACACCATAACACGTGCGCCATTTGAACACTTTCTGCAGGAAACAGCTGAAGCCTGCATGGAAATGTTTCCTCAAGAAGAGAACTTGTACGACAAGGCCTCATGTTCGGTGGTGAACTGAACAGGAGCGGATCCGGCGGGGGGGGGGGGAGGGTTAAAAATAAACCCAGCGGTCCAAAAAATGTTTTCCTTGAAATTCATCAAAAATAATGCGACCCCCCCCCCGCTCTGACACCCCAACAAAATTATACTGGTATAATGTCTGCCTGTTCAAAATACGGACAGAGGCAGCTTAGATAGGGGGTATTTGTACACCATTCTGTAATCTAGTGTTACTAATTGTCGAATTTGAACAGCGCCCCTTACTGAAATATGGTACGAGCCCCCCCCCCCCCAGTTTTTGATTTTACGGAGGGCAAGTGTACGGACAAAAAAACTGTCTACATTTCAGAATTTTTTTTGCTGATGAACCCCACCCTGCAAAAAATTCCTGGATCCGCCCCTGCTATACCACCAGGGAATGCATACTCCTTCTTTAATGCTGGTATAAAAACACTCATAGGACTTCCCAAATGGCAAGTAAGGATATCTGACCACAGGCCTGCTGCAAGAGAAGGCTTGATCATGACACCCGACAGGTGCCAGAGATGTATACAACCACTCCCAGACATACCTTACAAGATGCATAGCCAGAGAGGAGACTGAAGCTATCGTTTAATGCCACGTTTCTAAGTTTCGTGTTTTAATACGAATACTGATAAAAAAGAACATTAAATTTTCCTTTGTCCCTATATCATTATATAATGAATAAAACCACAAAAGTTGGGTTTGTATATCAAAGAGCAACATTACAAAGGTGTTTGATCTTAATGCTTAATTTTCATAAGTAAAGAGAATATTGTGAAAGGTCCATTGCGGATTCTAATGTTAACTGTGAAACACAGAAAAGAAGATTCAAAACTTACAGCTAACTACTTTTATTTATACATACCAGGAAATATATGTTGAAAGTATAACTTATGCGCACAGGTCCAAAGTTTGGGCACATTTTCTAATCTTATAACGTTTTAAGCCAACAGAAACGAAATACATTGTAATGACAACAACATTAAAACAAATGACAAAAAAACCCCCGAATTTGCTTTTTCAATTTAACGCCGATTGCTACACCAGACTCATTTTTCACACATTTAGGACGAATAGGTATGCTAAATATTTGAATTATATCAAACCTTAAATGAAATCTAGTGGTAGCTTTTTGAAATTCAAATTACGTTAACGTAATCAATTGGACAGACATTTTTGATAATTCAGAGCATCTTCCGATTCCAGCAATTATGATCTATAGTTGCAATGATAAAACTAGCAGACGACAGTAGGCCTTTGTTTGTATATGTTTTAATGTCCCACCGCCACCACCAACCCAGTTAGATCTTATTCCCCAGAAACTAAATTGCCAGGGATTATTCCAGGTGAAACACCGCAGCGTTCGATTAGCTTCGTTTTGTGGCTTCCTCGAGTGTAAAACCCGTGTATACACGGTGTATTCATGGGAAGCTACTCGAACGCACCCTTTATAAAGTGATTTCAAATCACGACATATTTATTTAATCACGTGATATCTTCCACGTATGCGTATTAAGGCAAATGACTTTTACCAGCCTGAAGAAGAAACAAAGAATTGCAGCCAGTGCGGTATAAAACCATGTTGGATAACAAAAACTAGGTTTATCACTATCGGCCAAACAGAGGGCGGTAGATCAATTTCATTGTTCTACAAGTTACACTTGATTTCTAGCGCAGCATGGGGTTATAATTAGTGTTAAAGAGCACCACACCCAGGCGCCGCGAATTCCACCCGGAAATAGCGACAGAAATACATACAAATGGACATTATCCATGCACAAGAATCGTTTTCCTTAGCATCAATGTTATTTGAAAAACAATCAATTTATAAACCGAATTAATGACGTCATCAAACGAGCAGACGTACTTAAATTTGTATACTGATTTTTTAATTTTTCAATTACAACACTGGTTTTTAAATATAAATAGCATCTTTTTGAAGAATTGAAATCTGACGTAATGTGTTTAATTCCGAGTTGATATCCTGACCAACATCCTTGATCATAAAAATCGATCATTCCTGACAATTTGCTTTTGGAAAACATGTAAGTTAAAGTTAAGCCTCCGCCACCCCCCATGAAACTCACCTAACTGTAAAACATCTCTGCTATCAGCTCTCCGTATGTATTCCGCCCAAAAAAAATATCCCACTCGTTCGTATGCCGTCCGTTTACTGTTACATGTTGGCTCCCAAACTCCAAACACACAATACATGCATTGTATATACATGTACTTAGTGATAGGAATTCACCAGAGTGTGGGAATTCACATTATTAATACTTATAAGCTTCACAGGAGAGATCCAAATGTGTTGTAGACTGTGAGCAGAACCACTTTGCTTATTAGAATTGACGGGGCGTTCAACTTCGCATTTCTGTACATATGCAAAATGGGAATTCCCGTTCTGAGAAATGGCTTCCCGGAATGTTATGCGTCAGGTCAATAGGCTTTTGTTAGTCGCAAAAGAAATCAGGTCACATTTATTTGTTTGAGTTCATGACAACGGAATCACAGACATCGACATCATAACAAAACATTGCCCGGTTTTTCGATTCTATATGCATACTGCCAATCGTACAGATTTAGACTGTAAGCTACGGATCTGCTGCCAAATATCAATTGTCTATCCCTACTTTTCGGTTTTGTAAAGAAAAGGTAGTTTCTAGTAAATCACTACTATTAATTAGGCATGTTTTAATGTATGCATCTTATAATGTAAAGATAAATAATTACCGTAGGAGTCTACATTAATATAAATTGGGTGACATCATGGCTATTGTAGAAGCAATCTAAAGCGATATATAGGCTGTCCATTTTCGAATAATTTAGTATGCGATTATTGGAAACTGCAATTGACCAAATATTCGAATTTTCGAAACTCGCAGATCAAGTCTTTACACACGCCAGCTAGCTACCGAGCCGCCTTCTCTGGTACGTGGTCAAATGGGTTGAATTCAAAGCGCGCCGGTTACAATGTGCATGCGGCGATGGATATTAGGCCTATGGGCCGCTGGAGTGTCTTGCAGTAAGTACTGTATAACTGTCCAGGGACTTTACCCAGCTAAAAGAATGGCACCAATCAATTATAGGTGTCGACAAAAAAAAATTACCGTGGACAAAAACATGGCATCTGACAATAAAAAAACCCGCAACTTTATGATTAAAAATAACACCACAGTCGTGTGTGCACGCGCATAGTTTTTCTTTTCGAATATTCAAACTGGCAACAAGCTATTCGAATATTTGGTTGATGGTCGAATATTCGGGAGCAATTTCACATGCCCACAATCCTTTCCGTTTCTATTTTAATTTTCTAAATTTGTTTTACGACAAAGTAATAGAAAGCAGTTAAAAATTGGCTGTGGTCGAACACAAGAGACTAAGGCCTGCTATATGATTGGTTTATTTGATGCTAGTACAATTGTTTCCTTAATACAAAAGTAAGTCATCTGAGTACTGAAAATGTAAATGCCAAAGGCGGCTGTACAAATGAATCTTTTAAAGGGAATGTACATCATTTGCTTTTGCTGTAATTTTCAGAAATGAACTATTTGAGGGGTTAGTATAATAGATCAAATATTGTTACACTGACATTTTTGAAGTTTTGTGTACGAAAAGGTTGATAAAACCAAGAAAAACAAAAATGTTCAAGTAGTCTGGTTCCCTGACTCCACAAAAGATAAAATGGATCAATGTATAGATGATGGAAAATTGTAAGGCAAGGGAACCAGTCTAGCTGGCCTGCACCCGTTCATGAACACGTAATCAATAGCAAACAAAATTTGGACTGAAAAATGGTAAATTTGGAGCAGTAGTTGAAAAATAGTTAGGTTTTTCCAACGCTGGTCGGCCGACCACCGTTGGAAATGTATACAAAAATACAATTTTCTTGAAAATGACTTCACACCAGGTGCCATAATTTTACAAGATGCTTGAGACTGTCATTTACCAACATCCTAGTAAGGTATTTCGTAAAAACTTGGTAGTTTTATTTTTCGATGTTTGCAAATGTTGTATATTCCCTTTAAATACAATGTAAATAAACATACTTAAATGAAGAATATTTCATAGGGCCTTTTACAAAACAGTCTACCTGTACAATGTCAAATGGCGCTTATTAGGAACATGGATTCGTCATGCATTTTAACCATAACATGGCACTTGACTTTGCAAGTCTCCGTAAGACATTATTTTATGAAACTTTACATATAAATTCTTTGTTACAAAAATCTCAAGTATAAACATTGTTTTAATTTTTACAAAATATACACATGGTATTTTTAAATAATTTATCAGTGAACAATGAACAGGAGTTTCGTTTGACTTTTATTTATACGTCCTGGCTGTTTTTTGATACGTCATTACTGCATTAAGTCGCACCCCCTTCCCCCGACGATCAATTCAAATACGAGTTTGAAACTCACAACTGCATGTTCTTTTGAATCTACCAGCGTCTCATGAGGTGCATATCATCAGTGCCTACCGAAAGAATACGCACCTCATGAGGTGCATATCATCAGTGCCTATACTGAACCGGGAGGATACAACCTAATGAGGTGCATATCATCAGTGCCTACAATTTCAAATTCAATCCAAATCAAAGATTCCATATTACGAAAAGATAGCTCCATAGGGCCTACTTCTTCACAAGTTCCCTTGAAGCGTGTGTTATGGTTGAGAGGATTACTCTATTTTTGTTAGCCCCAAAGACCCAACCTAGTGTCTTTTTTATCTCACTGACTGACTCGCTCACTGACTGTCACTAAGCCTTGCAGTGCTATTGTATAAATCGTAACATTGAATTGGCTAAATCCGACCCATTCTGTAGACCACATGCACGAGAAAAACAATTCCAGTGATGAGCCATTCGGAATCAATTAAATACAATGTTTACACTCTGGGACCAGCTTTACTATTCTTACCTTGTTTTGTTATATTTTAAGAAAGTCTTATCATCCCGAAATGAGTGCTATCAGGGTTCAAGTTAATGACTCTATTTGCATATGACACTTTGACTCCAACTTTATCTCCTGGGTTGATCTGCACCACTCCGCCTATATAGCATGTGTTAAACTTACGATCACGATCTACAGTGCATTCAGTGCAGCTGAAGCGTTTCTGGCCACCGATGTACAAACTGTGGCCCATGAACACACTTGGGTCATAATACAGCATCTAAAAAAAAGAGTTAAATGGAATAAATCAACAATCGCAACAACGTAACGTAAAATTCCATCTCAAGAATAATCACAGCAACATCAGTGATTGAATAATATATCGCAATATAAAAGCGGGGGATTCTTCAGAGGGTTGGTTTACGGAGAGGGAGAGAGAGGCTGGGGACGACACCATGGACACTGACGGCGCTGCAGCGCGCTGTTACGTACATGTATATGGAAATAAGTGCATTTTAGGCACATGGATGAATTTAAGGTCCGGCTTCGGCAGCTACACTTGGGATTTGTCGCATCTGCATTCTTCACAAATCATGCGCATCTTAGGGAATAGGCCCTAAATAATTATGTGCTTGGCCGGTTTCAAAAAAAGTACGTAAACCGGCTAGTGGCCTGGATGCGGATAATGGCCCGAGTCGAAATAACTTTCGGTCAAAAAGTCAAAACAAGTAAAAAAATATCACAAATTTCCAACGATTTTTTTCAAAATTTTTACTTCATGTTTTGTGAACACCTCGCGATCTTAGTGCTATAAATCTCCACACTCTGGCGAACTGCGCGATGTGGCGCAGAACGTGTAGCGGTGTTTTACCGACGGTTTAAAACCACTTACTTCATCGAGATTTGAACCTCAAAATGGAAGGAGCGTACAGAGTTACTCGCCGGATATTACAGAAATCTGTACAAAGGTCGTAGCCCTGTGAAAAGGGGCCTTAGCAACCACCATACAATAGACAACTTACTACATGGGGTTTCCCCAAAATGAATTTCTAGCCATGGCTTGCTTAAATAATACAAACACAAATATTTGTTGGATGTGGATAATAAATAAATAAAAAAAATACATGTAGCGTACATACTCCAAAAAACAACAAACATGTAGGGGGGGGGGGGGGAATTCATTCTGTCTCTTCTTTCTCAGAAAAAAACAGAAGTCATCTTAAATCGGCTTTAGTAACTTAATGATAATGAACACTAAATGAAATGCCGAGGAGACAAATCAGTTTGTCACCTATAAGACTATGCTATATCCTGTTTCTACAGTAAAACTGAAAGGTAATGCAAGACTTTACCTGGCTGTAAACATAGTAGATTCCTCCCTCTATTACAGTGACATTGCCGCGGTAATCCAGATAAAACTTGTCCCTTGTTTCAGCATCCATCCATTGAGCATATCTCCAGTATGGAACCCAACCGCCTGTAAGCAAATATAAACTCATCTATGAGTCACAATCACCATAGAGCAAGGATCCAAGGAGTTCGAGCTCCAAGACTTCAAAAGTAAAAGGATGGTCGCCGCGCTCGAAAGCAACAATAAAAAGCACCTGGACCCAGCTTGCTCAGTTGCTCCGCGCTCTAATGCTAAAAGAAAGAGTTTGCATTGCTTTGTAGACAATAACATGGTAAATACCGTACCCACGCGCAGTTGTCATGGGGTCCGCTTAAAGTCCGACGCCTCATAGGTCCGACGCCGCATAAGTCTGACGCCTCATAGGTCCGACATCTCATAAGTCCGAAACAGCGTTTGTCCATTGTCGGACTTATGAGGCGTCCGACTTGTGAGGCGTCGGACTAATGAAACGGCCCCGTTGTAATATACATTGCCAAAAATGAATGATTTAGAAGTGTTTGTTCGCAGTTGGATAATACTGTATATCAATGTGGTCAACATCACTGAAACAATCATTTCATGACGAACAAAATGCTCTATACCCTCTATACTCAAATCAGCAGTGGAAGAAAACCAAATACCTTGCAAGCTGTCTGGATACCACAGAAGATATAAAACGCCGGAAAATCACTCACAGAAACAACCATCAAGCAACTCAAACCAATACTATACAACAAGAAAATCAATCCTCAACTGAGAATAAGAATTTTCAATGCATATGCTGGAAGCGTCTTCCTGTATACAACAGTGAACTTTGGACTCTAACAAAAACCTTGGATAACCAAATTGATGCTTTCCACAGACGTCATCTTAGATACATACTAGGAATTCGCTGGCCAGAAAAGATATCAAATGATATCAAAAAATATCAAATGATATCAAAAAAGCCGTGGAGTCAAACATCAAAAACAGAAGATTGAGCTGGCTCAGTCATCTACTGCGTCTGCCACAAGACGCACCAGCAAAGATTGCTCATGACGAAATACAAAGAAAAGTGAAAAGACCGGCAGGGGGGGGGGGGGGGGCAAACGAACATGGTTAGACACATATCTATCTAATATTATACTAGTGACTTTTTCTAATGTATACATGTTTGTACATAATTGTAATGAATGACATCATTGAAATAAATGTTACTACTACTACTACTACTACTACCTTTAGTATGAAAACTTGTGAAATTTCCCAAAAAATCACATTCCATAAATGATATATTGCCAATTAAAATGTCCGAAAAGACATAACTTATTTGAAAAAAAAAATCCAATTTATCTTCAACTTACAGGGACAGATAGCGCTTTCAAGGACCAACAACTGCATATCGATAAGAATTCATTTAATCAAATGCGCAGTTGTTAAAACCTATCTTGTCGCAAAATGTATTTTTCAAAAAAGAGCAGCGACGTGACATTTATGCAGCATATAGCATGTATATGGAGGTTGTTGGTTACCAACTAAAAATGTGGCGACGATGATCGTGTTCAAAGGCCTCTTGCAGTCGCGCAATGAATGGTCGAGGCTTGCGGTCACAGTGCTTAACTATGGGACATTCCCGAGGGATTGGAATGTTAATGGTCAAAATGTAAATCGCCCAAGAGGTCTGACTCCTTGGGTCCTAGCTCTATGCAATAACTTTCGACCGGAGTAGGCCTATACCGTGGTTAGAGATCATTGGAATTCACCGACGATTTTCGCTAATTATGGCAACTGGGGGCGCGAATTTCTTTTTGACAGGCGGGATGCTCCAAAGTCATGAATAATTCAAGAGCATCGTTGTTATTTATTTAACCATTATACCTTTAAAGCAAAAGTTTTAAAGTACAGACGTCGTCGAGCTACCACACAGTAGCATATGGATAGCATGATGAACTATGGATACAAAGATCCCAGTGGTTCGAATCCACGTCGTCACTGCTCATTTTCATCGACTGTTTTTCTTCTCTAAATTTATCGTTCAGATAATTTAATTTTAAGGGAAAAAAGAGAACGAGAACCTAAGTGTCTTGCAACGATTCCAAGGAAAACTGAATTGCTTTTGGAGCATCCCGCCTACGGAAAAAAAAATCGCACCGCGCGCGCGCGCGCGCGCGTGTGTGCGTCGTGAGAGCGTGCTTGCACCACTGATCTCTATATAAAGACTGGATAGCTAATAAAGAGCCACACAATGTACGAATTTGACGCCATATTGGTGAGACCGGCTGGTGATCTACAAAGGACAAGTTTCCGTCTTTATAGACAGCATGATTTCTTTTGTAATGTCGCGGTTCACCTGACTTATATTTTGACCACCACCACTGACCAACTGACCAAGGTTTACTACAATTTTTCTAACGTTGTGGTTACTTTTATAATGCCGCAAATCACTTTTTCGGCGTTTTTGAAATAACAATCACTACGGAAATGTGTCCCTTTTAGAACATCATAATATGTGTACGTGACCAAAATGCGCGTCAACTGTTGATACAACGCGCGCGTATTTACGCGTAGAACGTTCGTATTATGCGCGGCCATCTTCGTGAGACCGGGGGCGAATTGATCAATATGCAAAGTTTACTGTGTGAATGTTGTATGCATATCCGCTATCCAGTCTTTATAGAGATCAGTGGCTTGCACCCAATCACGGAGACGCCCATTACAAACACAGGCCTACTGCCAACGGAAATGTCCAAAAATGTTTCACTTGACGCATCTTTGGGAATGACCTTCTTTTATTGTTTTTTTTTTCAAAATGACATCACGCCAGAACGAATAATTTCACAGGGAGTTAGGGTCGGTATAGGCCCTATACTACCGATATATCTTGGAACCAATTAGCAAGCTTTTTAAACAATAATTTAGTCGATTACTTTTTTTTTGATAGATGCAAATGGTCTACTCTACCTTTAATACTGTAGTAAAGTTGCAAATATTTTTTTCATAAGGATTCCTGTTGGTCTTCCTTAAACAAAAATACTCAAACAAAATGTTACAGTTACGATAACGTGGTTAATCAGGAAATAGGGAGTTATTGGACGAATTAATACGATTCCTTTAATGTCTCTGTTAAGGTTTTGTTAAGTTTCAAACCGTGAAGCCAATGTCTAGTTGCTCATCTTAACTGTTCGATATTTTTTCTCCTTAAGAATTTTCAACTAGAATGTTAAAGTTCAGCCAAAACACATTTTTTTTTATTGGGCGTCTGCAACCATTGATCTCCATATAATATACATATGTAGCCTACATATGGAAATCAATGTCTGCAACCCTCTCAAACGGGCTTGTTTTTGCCTTGCGAGTAGACTGGTTCTCAGTCACGAAATATCGATTCTGACAGAGGGCGGGAACCAGTCTACCCTGTGTAGCGTAATATTCTATAAATAACTAAATGTGGGTCTCATTCAAACTTGAATGACTGTTATATTGCTGTTATAAGCAAAATAGCAATTTCAGAAATACTCTATTTTGGACGGTATATCTTTAAAAACAGAGTTGTTTTGTGGCACGATGATGTCGGCGCTATTCAGCAGAATACGTTGAGCAGTACCGGAGGTGTACATGTATGTGCGTACCACAGTACGCCTATTTATTGGTTCAGTATGATCAGCGATCAACGTTCAAGTACTCACAATGTAATGTCAGACAAAGGTTGTTGCAACGACTAAAATTACGTGCTGAGGGGAATCCCATGTACATGTACGTGTTTGTGTATGGGTCTTATCAGCATTGTTACACATTTGGACAGTGGTATTGTGTTTTGTATGGAGCTGCACACGCCAGAATAAATTCTTCAATCTAGAAGGGTAAACTTCACTTGTTACGGTAACTTAGGCCTAATTTTGGATATGGGACTCTTCAAGGTGGTAACAGGGTTCCTATACGCAAATTCGATAACGCACATAGGTATTGAGCTTGGGCTGCACACGCAGATTATTACGAACTGGAAAATACATACTTTAGCCTGCAACTGTGCGATATTTTCTGAAACAACATAAACCTATACGAATGCAGTAAACAAATTCAACTTCATTAATAATTTCGGGTTCAAAGTACAAAATCAGTGGGTCTTTGTGTTAGATGATTATGAACTCCCTCGGCTTTGCGTTGGGATGTAATATTCAGAATTAGTTATCAACAATAAGTCAGCTTGTATTGGACCATTAATTACCCACAACTTTCACTCAAACCATTGTGTTTGTATACACACCGGAGTCATTACCAAGGGACCATAAGGTGTGTTGATTGTACTTCACAGACGTGTACTGGGCTATACCATTCGACTTCCTTTAATAATCAATAATGTATGACGCATGTACCATAACTCAATATAGCCCTTGTATTTACTGAAATACCTCATGTACATCCTGCGTTTCATATCAGTTTTTCTTCATTCAACTTACTTTATCGTTTCCTTTCATTTTAGTAACTGTTAACAAATCAAACCGACAGAATCATTTCCTGAATGGGATTCCTTGACGAATGTTTTTAAATAAGACTACTATAGAAGAAGATGTTGCAGATACCATAATGAAACTACTAAGCCTACATAGACGAAGATGTTGCGTTTTAGGGGATTCTCAATTTCTCATTTTTTTTTTTTTACGCAAGTTGTCCGACAAGATACTTAGCAAACAAACATTCGGATGCTGTTAACATAAGAAGTGGAACTGTTAGGTCTAAGGCTAAAACATTACGCGTTTTATAATTTGTAATATTGTAATTTTAGAAAAGCATACTATAGAAAAGCAATATCTCACAAACTTTTGTGTGCAAAATTTTGGTAAGTTGTACGGATCAAAGAATAAGATCTCTTGTGACTTATAAACTTGAGTTTAATCAGGCTAGTTTCAAATTGTTGGATTTTAATAAATCAATTTTCAGCTAGAAAAAAATGATTTAGCATGAAATAATAAAATACGTTATATAGTTCTTGCCTTAAACAATCAAGTTATTGGTTAAAAGCAAGAAAAAGTTGATATGTAAAAGCAGCATACTTAATATAATCCATGACTTAGGTCCATCAGTCAGACAATAATAGATGCTAGACAAAAGTTGGCAATGTATACACACATTTTTTACGCATGGTGCAAAGACATTTGATTTAAACTATGTATAAGTCTAGAAAAGACAATGACAACATACCATTGATTGCACTTAAGTCGACATATCCCCTGTTTATCGGATCCCGCGCTACAAGTAAACGAAAAGAACATAATGCAATTAATGTCTGCACATTATACTGTCGTATAAATAGCGAAATAATTATCAATTGCATTTCATAATTTTGTTAGCAAAGGGACCATTTCAAGTACATGTATAATTATTTAACTTTCATTGGGCACATCAGGTTCAAAAAGAGACAGACCTATAAGAGATATCCATGTCAGGGGTTGGCTATCTGCCTTTGTTTGTTAGCTGATAAGTATTAAAAGCTATTACCGCTTCATCTACAACACCCATGCACGCTTTGGTGGGTAAAGCCATTATTCTTATTACTCTAAATAGTTCTTGTTTAGAAAAAGGGCAGTTGTAAGCGGTTTATTTTATCCCATGCACGAACAAAACTTTAATGTGTATTTCAATTAATCGTATAGTTGAAATTTTAAGCTTTCTTAATGCTATGAATAATTACACGCATTTGTTTGGATGTGATGACTTGTCAGTAACCTTGTCAGAAAACTTGCGTGCGTTGACAACCATTTCCAAAGTAATAACGGTGCCCTTGCCAGTGAGTACTTGCCAGTGAGTGTCTCACTATTTGTAATTATAGGCCAAAAATACCCTGTAGCGTTGCCCTCACATGAAAAATATCAGGAGGGTCGGTCGGTCGGTGATTTTTTGTTTTTAATGGCCACTTAATTGTTAGTTACCAGTTCCCCTCTACCAACGTACACAAAACGTTTAGCCTCGGCTATAGTACATGTGACTGCAAGCGCGAACTATGCTGTGTACATGTACACATGTAGGCCTATACATATTCACATGTATACATGCTCACATGTATACGATGTATGCAGTAAATCACACCACATGCTCCAGGCCTCGGCCTCAGTAACACCGTGGAGGAATAAGAACGAACACGTACAAAATACGACAAATTCGAACTGTACGTTTGTAACAAAACGCAAACTTATGGCATTACAAAGAAACGGTAATGGCAAGGTTTAAGATACTTAAGATACTATTTTTCAAGTGAAAAAAAAAAACCAATTGGATATATCCAGGTTTTGGGGTCGGTCGGGTAAGGGCAAAAACCAACTTATTTTTGGCTTTGTGTATTTGTCAAGCCATTCTTTTGTCGCATCTTTATTGTCTGAGACAGGACAATCTATTAAAAGTGGAAAAACAATCTTGAACCACTACGATTTGTTTGTTTAATAGTACATGTTCATAAATAAATTCTTGAGTCGCAGCACCAGAATTAGATTGTGTAAATGACGGCGAACGAAAAGGCTTGGATGTCATGGTAGTAGTTATGTTCCATTAACCAGGGCTACGGTGGATTTGAAGTCCTCAAAATAACTGGGAATTCCCAGCGCTGACGCAATATGCAAGCACGGAGGTCATGCGTATATGGATACACAGCCTCATGGCCAGTCGAGTGTGATATCAGAGAGCAATATGCACATGAACTCTTGATCCATGAAACACACAGTACATACACGTACATTGTGTACTATGTTATGTGAGTCCTGGTAAAATACTGACACTACTAAACACGCTAAATGTAATCAGTCAATCTTATAATTTAAGCACTTCCAACCGAAATGTAGGCCTATACCTAATTTTGAGTGAAGCTTGCACCTTTTAAGGTGTCAGCGTCGATGCATAATACTTTTTGACAATACCAGACTTACTTGCAATGGATGCTATTGATTCTACATCGCCTTCAAAATGTGCTGCAAGTATCATGGTGTACTGTATAGGGTTGATAACATTAAAACAACGAAAATTAGACAAAATTACTGGGATGCTGTGTGTCTATTATAAGGTCATCAATGCAAAAAAACCCGAAATATTCGGGGCAGAAAGAAGGCATTAACTTATTTATTATACGCTTAAAATATTAAAGGATTGAAACAGCCGGCAAATTGTCTATCCACGTCCTCCCTTCAATATGATGACCTTAATGGCACACAGCACCCCTCCTTTGACTTACTTTCACCAGTATTGATAGTTGCAAGTCTACCTCCCTCAAAATGTGCGGCAAGTAAAGCTGCTGGCCGTGCATCGGACCAATGAGGCACCCCGGGGCCCTATATAGAAGGGAGGACATGGATGTCATCCAGCTGAATTCATTGATATTGCTCACCAAAAACCATTTCGGTTTAATAAAAGTACACAATACGAGAAAAAATGAACAGTCACAGTCCAGCTATACTCTTGTATTTAAAATCGTTGTCGAGCAGTGTTTAAACATTATTGTAAAAAAAAAGCAGCTCAATACACCATTCATTTTTATTGAAGTTAAGTTCACTGCAAAGTTCTGATGCCATTGGAATGTGCTGCAATTAATTTTAAGGCATGTCATTTGCTAAAAGATGTATTGTTCGTGCTATTTTGGAGTTTTACCAAATAAATTGATAAATTGCTATTTTTTCTAGCGCATTACAAGACACATCGACCGAAAAAGGCCCGCTTTTAGTTGTACAATAAATATTACAAAATGTCCAAGTATTAGCAGCCCAACAATTGGCCCTATTTTTCTCAGGGCAGACTGGTTTCCGCCCCTTCTAGAATCGAAAAATGTGGGGACCGGGAACCAGTCTACTCGCAGGGAGGTTCTGTTTGTACACCCCTCCCCCCCCCAAAAAAAAAACCCATTCAATACATGTATTCAGTAGCAGATTTAAAAATTGGAATTTCTTTAATAGTACGGCCAGTATACCTGTAAGCCATGCATGCAATTGCCAAAAACAACTGATCGCGAAGTTTTTTTAAAATATTTTTTAAACCGCAATATTTTAGGCCTATGGTATCTTCAATACATTTTTACTTAAGGTCAAGCGATTCCATTTGCCCACTTTTATTTAAAAATTCGTGATAATCAGTCACGTTGAAACAAGGTCACATGAAAGACAAACTTTATATTGGCAAATCTCGTTGTTGAAATCTGATAAACATGCACATACAACTATAAGTCTGGAGTTTTTTAGTCTATGAGATTGGAAACGACTGAGTGATGAGGGTTGAGATCTCGGGGCAGAAAAGATGTTTGCACTGCCACTATACGTAAACCACCTACCATAAATATGGCATATTCCTAAGGAGCTTTTCATGGAACTACAATGTACCCTGTTTTACAGGTACAACACTATGGTTCAGTGGATACTTCACTTTCCGAAAAATAGTGAAAAATGATGTACACATGTACTTTTTTTCGTGTAAAATCCGTATACTATTTTGTTGAAGCAAACTGAGATTCCCTGCTTCAGAAGCTATACTGAAACGTAATGTCCCATATGCTCAGCAACTTTCACCAAGGACGAGTCTCGAATCATTATTCAATTCCGACTTACGAGTCGTGCATGCATGTAGGCCAATACATGCACAATGAAGGTGCATGGACATGAACACACACGTATAAAGCGACATAAATTATTAAGTGATGTGCTGTGGCATGCAGGAAATAGGAAGGGCGCATTAAAGTTTAATAACAAACATCATTATTTGCAACACTACACCAGGTCCTGTGTGGTACCACTAGTGTGGTATGGTTTCCGCCTCAACGTCCATGAGTTACTTTCAGAATATAAACATTGGGATCATGTTTTCCAAAGGCTATTTTTGGTGGTGAAATGTGACTGGAGTCATGCACAAGTCATGATCGAGTCCAAGTCTTTTGCCGATGTGATTCAGGTCGAGTCCGACTGTCCGAGTCCCCAAAACTGCGACTCGAGTCAAGGATTCGGGTCCGAGTCCTTGACTCGAGTCCCATAACACTGGGAATTGGGATTCAGCTTATTGAAACGGCAAACGTTTTGAAAGAAATCCACACAATTTGAGGTAAAATATTCAAATTTGTTCGTAAACCTCAAACTTGACAGTCTCACGAGCCAAGTAAAGCGTTTAATATAGGATATGATCATGTGATCATGTGTCATGAAATCTACTAGATTGTGGACCCGTTCAACTTAACGCACGTAAGAAGCTGGCGTTGCACTGTAAAGAGGGAAACGAGATTTTAAGGCAACACCTTTAGGGAGCATCGTGTGCGGTTTCAGCTCAAGTAAGCGTTTGAAGTCTGTTTCCAATCTCACAAGCACTTTGATAGTATGTATTACGTTCAGTGATTTGAAGTCGTTGAAGGGAAAACTGGTAAAACATATCACACAGTCGAAAGATCAAATAGAAATCTTGGACATGCCCACAAATACGCATAGGCCTTTACGCTTGGTTGGCAAACTGCCTTTTTGCCAACCACGGGTTGCAAAACTATAGGAGGTCCAACAATGCAAAAATGAAGAAGACTTAATTACAGATAACCAACATATTATTTGATTGTTGGAAATACAACATTGTCAACAAAGCTACAACATAATTCCTAATCAATATGCCTTTTTACTTTGTATTGAGGGCGTTATGAGGACTTTTTTTGGAAAAAACAATATGTTGCCAACCACGGCTTCAATTTATGCGCTTGCGGTAGCCCATATAAAATGGCGCCAATGTTTACAAACAAAAGAAAGGTCTATAGGTAATGCTTTGACCCATCTTCTCTTCATGTCAATGAGTCATTGATTTCTCATAAACATGAGCACAATTTGGCTAATATGAACGCACATCATAAAATGCTAGTATACAAAATTATTGACGTGTAAAACATTAATTGCGGTACAGCTATACGTTCATATTTCTCAAACAAATTGTGCTGCCTGAGATTTACACTGTGGGTTCCGCCACAAACTGTGCCAACCTAGGAGTCTGCTTTACCTGCGTGGTGGTTCTTGTGGTGGTTGCGTAGGTTGTTTCTGGATCCATTGTCGGCTGGTGACATTCACATTGTCCAGCTGGTCCTGAAGAGAATGAGAGATCATAAAAAGACTCGTAAACCTTAAATCGACGTATAACACGATACTGATTTAACACAATGGTAATTGAATTTTTTAGATTTATTTATACAGTGTTAAGGCAAGATCCTAACTATATACAGTGTTTATAAATATACGTCAGGTAATGGAAAAAATATTGAAATGATTTGATCCTGTTATTCCGCGCGTTACACGGTGGCAAAGAAAATGTTGTATACATGTACTGATATGTTTAGTCGTAAACGGGTTCAGGGTTTTAATAATAATTTTAGAAAGAACAAAACCAACGAGTGGTCCCAATCGCCAATGCTCGAGATAGCAACTACAGTGCCGAGAAAAGGTGGCGAGAAAACACAGAATTATAAGTACCCATTGAATAAACTACTTGAACAAATTGCCATTACTTTTTTGTCTACAAAGATGTCATTCTCTCGGGAATGCTAATGACTGTAAGTTCCAGATTCCGATGAACCCCGTAGCAATAACACACTGTGAAATTGCAGACATTATTGTTACATTACATCTCTTTATTTCAAAGAGTAAACATTCACTCTATATCAGTGAGAATTCACTGCACCTGGCGATTTAGAGTGACCGATGTATTTTGTTTTAATTTCAATAAAAAATTAAATTTGTAGTACTTTTGACTTGTATGCGTGGTGTCCCTAGTTTGAATCCTTGGAAATTAGACAGCACCTGCACCGGAATAAATGTTGACTCAATTTCGGGAACAGTTTGTTTTATCGTTTGCTGTTTTAACGTACCACTCTCTCCTCTCTGTCCCTTTTGACCACCATACATTGTCGGACTCACGTCACCCTTGTCACCTTTCTCACCTGTTGGGAAATCAACGATGAGATATTAAAACTAGCTGGGCCTAAACTAAGTGATGTTAGAGTTACTTGTTACCGTCATAGTTAATCATAAACATCCTACCTTTACATCGCCTTGAGCACTGTTTAGGTTCCCTTTCCGGTCTTTCTGTAAAATGCAGTTAATAACAGTTTTAATTAGCAATAAATGCAAATTCAAAGCACTCAATGTGTTTATGAAAGTAATTCGTGTGAATGTCGACCAGAAATTCAATCACTCTTTTTTTTAACCAAAAGATACACCTAATTCAGCAAGAAAATTAAGTATTTTACAAGACTGCAGGATTGTATGAGGAGTAAAGTCATGCTTCACACACCTCGTTTACGTGTTTTATGTTGTCTGGTTGAGCGCAACCAGCGCGCTTTGATGTTATCTTCATCTTGCTCCTTGTATGCCTGCATGTGTGATGAACATAATTAGAAAACGGTTATTGACAAGAAGCACTTAAGTCGACTTACACCCAGATTATCTTTTCTATGCTTCCAACTCACCATGCTCCGGCGCTGAACGCCACTTTCCTGCAAGATGCCATCATCACCATTTCTTTGATTTCGGTTTATCTCTTCTGCATTTTCCACAGCTGCCGCATTATGAACAAGAGGCGGATCACGAGGACCGTCGCTGGAATTATTAGTACGTTGGTCGGAGATATGAATGGCTACCTGCTCAAGCTTATACAGCCTTTCCTCTGTCTTCTCTAGCACCGACCCCATATCCATAATTTGCCTCTCAAGTTGCCTCATTCGCGTATCGCACTCTTGTAGTTTTGAGCTTAAAGTACCTGTCTCGATCGACGACTGATTGGCGACTACCAATACTATGCAAAGCATTACGGCCGTGACGCCGCTGCTAAATAAGCACGCAACAACTAAGCTAAATAGCCAACTTCGTTGCACTTGCATGTTGGACTTCGATATTATCATAGCTTATATCGAAGATTTTAAAGCTTGAAAGCACCGCGCGAGTACTATCCAACAAGGCACGACCGTATTTGATCATCGAGGAACTGGTCTTTCTTTGCAGCCATGTCTGGCCAGCCACCGTGAACAGCCAGGGCAGTATATGTACTCGAGTCCCTGGTTGCTGGATTCACAGAACAGCTACCGGGACGGTTCTAACTTCAACCGGTGAGAGCGCGCCGGGCATTTTGTACACGTGAGGTACTTTGTTATGCTGAGGTCGGGGCCACTACGTCACTCTGCATAATTTTGAGGGGGTGAGGTGCCAGCGTGACCATTGAATCGTATACACGATATTGACAACGCCAATCAAAGTGTGGGCGGGATGAGTTTTCAACTTACCTGGATGCAGCGACGTTGCGTGTACAGTGGAAAATCTCCGCGGTTCATCCAACCATGATCAAACCAATCGGGATTGAGTCTAGTGAAGTTATTTGCATATCAACACTGAACAAGTCGGTGTGACGTGTGATTACGAAAACCACGTACACACCGAACCGATCCAGACAGGATCGACTTCACAGAAGCCCAATTTCAAGTACGCTTTAAATATAGCTTCGTGCTTGGAACTTGGGCTGGAATTCACTGAACTGTAATTTTGTTCAGGCGTAACACACCCCCGGTTGGAGACTATTTCCTTTGTATAGGAAACTGAAAAATCTGATTCACGTGCTTCTAGTTAGTTTTAAATGTTGATGCTGGATCCTAGGAATGTGAAGAAAGGATTCAAATTTAGGAAAAGTAATTGCAGAATGAACCTAAAACTTCAGCTGTGACGTTACATGTGCAAGGTGATTGTTTTGGTTCGGAAAGCTTTTGTTCATTGTCGTTTTACTCGTTTGATGTTTGATCTAGCATGGAGGCAAGCCCCGTGGCTATCTATATGCTGACTGCATAAAAATGCAAGTGCAGTGGTTTACCAACTACTTGCATTTCAATGTATTCCCTTGTATCTATATCTTCAGCAACTTTCAGGCCAACAGCGTAAGCTTTACTGGAATGCATGAACTGCCGTGAAGGATTTCGGAAGTTTGCGAGCCAAAAGTTTTATTTGCAAATAAAATCGGTTCAAACCTTAATACCAGCGTTGCTCATGTCGTAATCTGCCTTTATGTTGGTTTATGTTAAAGGTGCAGTCGGCCAGATTTGACCAAAATTCATACGTTAGATTGTTGACAAAATGATTTTAAAAGTTTGGGTCACAGAAAATCCACGTTAAATATGTATATTACGGAGAAAAACACTGAAAAACCCATTATGTTCACATCGATTTTTGAGCAAAAACTATCAACAGACTGGTGCCATAGAAAACGTATGTGACAATTTACCTTGAGATATCAGGTCCAACTATAGCTTCAGAATTACACATGCCAGGCTTTCTTATAAGCTCACGTGTTTGACAACCAAATGAAAAAGAAACACATCCGTCTGAGTCGACGATTGTATAGCGTTCTTTTAACGACTCGACTGTTGAGGACCAGAATTTTGTACCCCGAAATCCCTTGAGGCGGTGATTAATACACGAACACAACAACTTTCCATGGTAGTACACTAGTCTTCAATTTTTGAGCATTCATATACTACTTTAAACATCTTTCCATTTATATTATTTTTAACATTTCGTAGGGAACGCGTGTTGGGGGCCTGGTAGAAAAGGGCATCTCGAAATCGCTCCTTTTAACACAACCCGATGATAGCAAACCACCCGTCCTTTCCTGAGATCAGACTGGCGAATCCGACAAGTCCGAATGCGGAAGGTGGATCGATTGAAACAGAACCACCGGCCTTCAGTAAACTGGCACGCTACCGTTCCGCTTCATTCGTTGTATAAATAAACACTTAACAAAAAAGAAGTAAACCCCGCATGCTATGAACTTCGTACCTTGGACGTTGTACCTTTCGATAATGAAATCTTCACTTCAGAGGTCACGCATCACCGGGTCACGCTATATTTAACCCTGGAAGGCAATTTCTATTAACAGCGTAAACATAATATTCTATTGAAAAAAAAGAAAAAAGGGGGGGGGGGGAAGGCGAAGCAGCTTGGGACTGGTTTGATCATAGAGCAAGGACAAGGTTCCACCTTGCTCTATTACTATTAGTCTATGGTTTGATTTTCCCAGGTCGTGTGCCCCGCCTGCCGGTCTGTACCCAGCCTGGTCTGTAATGTATTTATTTTAGTATGCATTAGTTTTAACACCATTGTCTTGTCTATGGAACGTACCATATCAGACACAGACATGTCGATTCGCGATTTCATTATTCAAATCCATGAACTGAAACCCCCACAAAAAAGTGTTAGGACCCCAAGGGGCGCATAATAGACGAATCCATGCACGTGATCACTCTCACCATCAGGCCCTTTCAGCCTGCGTGGTGGGTGCAGACCAGTACATTGGCCAAAAATTGCCTACGCGGCCAAATCACGATTTGTATGCCCTCATTTTTTGCTATTCGAACATTTTGTGGACTATGAACTTGAAGGTTTGTAAAATGGATGGGTGGCAGTCATGCACAGGACTGCGAGCTCGTATTTTCATGAAATTCGGATGAAATTGTGCCCTAAAATTGGTCTATTTTGCAATGGAGCGCAGGCATCACTTTTCAAAATGGCGATGGGCCACGAGGCTACTTTTGCTAAAAAAATTTCATCCAAGGAATATCACTCCAAATGTGATTGGAAAACCACCCACAATTCCACAAATTATAAATTTAAAGATGATGAAATAAGCTTTAATTTGATGCATGTTTCAAATACCTTGGAGAGTTGTGAGTATTTTAAATTAAGTTTGTAAGTGCGCGTAATTATCACTGAGGTCTACGACTACGAGAGTCGATTTACTGTTCTGCACCCTTAGTATGTGCAAGTACACATTATTCAACTGCCCTGTGCATGTGACAGTTCATCTGAAGTGGCTTGCCTATGCTTTTGCCATCGAAGGGCGGAAGGGGGCAATTGGATCGGTCTTTATAGCACTCGCGAAATAGAAGACACAAGCAACTTGTTTTTCTGGTCCATGACGTAAAGTTTACACTGAAACTCATTTTGTAAAAATATCAATTTCTTCGTATTGTATAGAATCGATTTATTTAATTTCACTGCTAAGATGCAGCCTCACTTACAGACAAAATGCACAATAAACTATGGAGCCAGACAAGACCTGTAGGCCTACACAGGACAGTAGCACACATTGCGAAATGCGAGCAATGATATTGGTTGCGAGACAACGACCATTTTTACTATACTTATCCCATAATGTGACTCAATAGTTCCTCCCTATTGTGATACGGAGGAAGTCCAGTATTTCCCAACACGGAGGAAGTCCAGTCACATATGTGGCTAGTCCAACGACTGGATCCGTTCTGCAGTATAGGTACTCGTTCGTATGCGACTCTTTCAACCAGGCCCTGATGGATACACTTACCGTGTGTTGGTCCGCAGTGATGACTAAACCACTCACCCAATGTTTTCGCAATATGAATAATTATGCATGATCATACTTACTAGACGCTGGACAAATTCGGCTCTATTTGCCTAGAAGATGTCTACCACTGCTCCCCATCTGCCATCTACACGTACATACAGTACACTACATGTACAGTGTGTTCAGCACTATTGCGATGCCTTGGTCGCGCATGCAGGGCGTGTTATAGCACGGACTCGACTGCTTTCGCAATTCGTCAAGCATGACTCATGGGGATTCCTCTTTGATGTGAGCGTGATTACGCAATGGCGTTGGGGATACCCCGTTCATAAATACGGCATATTACGTATAGAGCTGGATTACTACCTGCGCTGTATTACCGGTAACCTCGTTTCCATGGTGTCGAGTAATATGCTACCACAAGCGTTTTCCCACTTATATTGAATCAGTTTGTATTATTGTGATACAGGAATTATGATTAGGTGTGGAATATTGCTTGTGGCTTTCCAATAGTGTTATGTTTTTGCCGAGTTTTGTATATACCCTTCGAAGTTCCAACCTGCACTTAATAGTCAGGCAGCTTAGACAAGCTTTTGGAATGGATGTGGACATTCCGGACAAAAGCGCTAAATTGTCCATACATGCTCCTTATTGCCTTAGCTTTCAATTTTTGATAGGAACCAACTTATCCAATAACAATATGGCGGCCATCTTGGATTTTAAAGATGGCTGCCTTTGAAAACCTATTTTTACCCATATCTTATCTTCTAAGCCACTAAGGATTAAAGTTTTGGTGTCTAAACACACATTTTCAGGGTCAAGGAATGCAACTGTACCATTTGGTATAGTGTCAAATGGTTTGTTTGTCCAGATACAGTATTGTTGCCATCTTATTTTTGAAGATGGCCGCCGGCATTGAAAACGACATGTATTGCATCTTTAAGCCGGCCACTTAACATTGAAATCCTAGTGTCTAAACATATAATTTCAGGGTCAAAGAACACAACCGAACCATTTGGGTTAGTGCTCAATGATTAATTTTTCCAGATACATTACGGTGGCCATCTTGGATTTTAAAGATGGCCAGGAAAAACAACTCTTTTATTCAGAAGAGACCAAGATGATTTTAGTTATACAATGTACATACAAAATAGTCAAACTAAAGATAAAATCTCTAACAGAATACCGTTGATATATACTGCAGTCACCGAAAATACTGTATAAAGTATAAGTAAAACGACAGTATGTGAGAATAAAATAATGTCATCACTCACAAAAGTTTAAAGTTTAAAAGTGCTCGCCCTTATTCTCACAGTTGCAAGCGCACTCAGCACGGTGCTGCATGCACGTCTTGCAACGCATACACGTTGATTCTTGAAGCCACATTAACTAGTTCACTGCAGGCTTCGGAGGCCACAGGTAACATGGTCCAGACAGGAACCCATCACTGTTTTTGTTCATGTTCGAGTGCCTGATCCTAAACAGGCTTGTCCCCGTTGCTGAAACATCCCTTACCCCCCAGAAACCTGGATTGCGACATTGCAAGTCAACAATAAGCCAACTCTTAATCTGGCACAGCAAGCTGAGGATGGGTTTGGAAGTAGAGCTATTTTTGTGGATCTTTCGGTCACATGTAATACTGTAAACCACTGCCGCCTCCTGAAAATGATCTTGAAGTTGACCCAATACCTCGCATTTACGGATCATATCGGAGCCCTTCTCAAAGACTGATGCTTCTTTGTTGTTCAGAACAAAACAAAACTACGCTGTCGACGGCAAGAAAACGGCCCACCTCAAGGCGCTGTGCTAGCTCCGTTGCTGTATAACGTCTACACAAAACAAATCACAATTTAATTTAGACCAGGACATTGAGCGTTTCATCTACGCAGACGATCTTTGTGTTACATCTCAAAAGATTCCGTTCGAAGCCATAGAAGCAAAACTTACCTCAGCACTTAGCCGTATCTATACTATGAGCACAATCACCTCCGTGTCAATCTCGCTTAGACCCAAGTCTGCTCGTTCCATCTCAGGAACGTTAACCGCGAAGCCAACCGACCCCTTAACATCAACTGATCCGGAACACCATTGGCCCCTTGTAGCCATCCTGTCTACCTTAGAGTGACCCTCCATATCGCATCCTGTCATTCAAGTCATCCAAATTTAGTTCCCCGTAACAACATCATAAAGAAATTGAACAACCTCCGTCCGAAAGGGGAGCCAAACCACACACCCTAAGATGAACCGTTTTGGCTCCGCGCAATTCTTCAGCAGAGTATGCGTGCCCCTCTGGGAGAGATCAGCCCATACCATGAAACCTGACCCAGCCTTAAACAACATGCAGTTTGATCACTGGATGCTTGAAACCCACCAACACAAGTAATTTGCACCTCCTTGCTGGCATTTCCTCTTCGGATTTCCGAAGGGAAGTTGCCAGCCGAGCTAAGATGTACAAATATTTATAAATGACAAGTGTCGCCTCCTCCAGGGACGGCAAGTTTCGGCACAAAGGCTGAAGTCAAGAAAAGCTTCCTCAGCCATGTCCACTCTTTCACAACATCCAGGGAAGTGGCAAGACTCCAACCCTGGAAAAAACGACTGGGAGCAAACGCCCACCGATTGTCATGGTTAGACTATAAAAACGGCGGAAACCTCCCAACAGGTGCTACATCGACATGGGTTCAATGGAAAACAGCCGCTTGAGAACAAGGACTAGACGATCACAGACCCGTCTTAATCAAATGGAGCTACAAAAGTGGTTAGCTGCATGTAGTTGTGGAGAGGCAGAGTTGTATCACATCGTGGAGTGCTAGAGATTTCTACCTGCCTAGGTTCAAAGATGGCATTGACCCAGTTAACAGGACGGTATTGAGCCGATACCAGCTAATCATGGGTTTGTTGTGGCAGTACCATACAGTTTAAACGGTACAAGACCAGAAGTGGGCTATGCTGGCTCGATTGCGCCAAAACGGTTCCGTGTTGACGGTACAGACGACACCACTGAGTCGGAATTGGTCCAGTGCTCGCCCTATTAAGTGGCAAACGGTAATGGTAAGACCGTTCAGAGCCTGCATTGGACCAGTGCTGGTCTTTTTAAAGCAAACAATAACTGCAGCAAGACGGCGCACAGCCTGAACCGTGCCATTGCAGGTCCTCTTACGATAAACCATGAAAAAAAGACGGTAAAAGGCCTGAATCGGGCCAGTGTCGGTCCCTTTTTGGGAAACCATATAGGCAAGATGGTACTCAACCTGAATGGAACCGGTGCCGGCCCGTTCAAGTCAAACCATAATAGCAAAAAGGTACATAGTGTAACGGCGGTGCCGGGCCGCCGGCAGAGGGCGCCAGCACGGACCCACGGTGCCCCTGCTGGGCCAGGGAGACCCGTTGCCAGACTGCGCCGACTCAGTAGTGTGACTTTTGTATAGCGTTCCTTTTTGTTGTGAGTTGTATAAAGGGAGAGCCTCGTGTAAAGAAAGTGGCAAGAATAAATGGCCGTAGAGCCCCGTCTATGCGGTGTGAGAACCCCAGATTCGTTCTACGTTACATTAGCCTGAATCGGGCCAGTGTTGGTCCTTTTACGGCAAACCATATGGTCGCCGTATTAAGTAATAATAAAATAATATGAATACAAGCAAATTAGCATAACAACCTCAGAACAAAACTAATCAAGCAAAGTAAAGGGGAAAATGGCATATGAGGGACCTATAGAAATAAGAAAGAAAGAATATAATACATATTTTGTTTGTAATAGAAATACAGACTTGACAACACACCCGGACGGAGTATTCTAGCAGCCACGCACATTAGTCTCATCCCTTTGACTATACAGTGTATATGAACGTTCATTTTGTTCATGAGTTATACATGACAGAAAATAGTCATATTTTGAACAAAAATCACTTGTAATTTGATATCTGATGACATCATCATGACGTCAGAGTAATATGCATACCTCAGGATTAGGGTTAATATATGTTGAAAGTTCCACTGAGTTTATAACATTAACAGATTAGAAGAAAAGTCCCAGACAATTATTATCCAGAAAAAAAAAGAAATAAGGAGAGAAAGAAACAAAGGGAGAATGAAACACATCGACCATTTCAAAAGGGTGATGGG